AGATCAGGATTCTCATTTCCGGAAGCGATCTTGATGCTGCCATCTGCTAGCACAATCTCCACTTCGAGTAAGCAGTCGACTGTGAGACCGTGTCGTCCTGAAAGCCAACCATAACCCCCGCCGAGTGTTAGACCGCCGACTCCGGTGTGGTTCACCGTCCCACCAACCATGGCTAGTCCATACTTTCCGGCAGCTTCATCAACATCTTTCCATATACAGCCTCCTTGCACGCGCAAAGTTTTGGTGTCGGGATCAACTTTGACTTCTCGCAGCTTCGAAGAAAGATCAATCACTAGACCGCCCTCGATGGAAGATGCACCGCTGGATGAGTGTTTCCCGCCACAAACAACAAAGTCGATAAGATATTGGCGACACCATTTGATACAGGTTGAGACGTCTTGGGCTGACTCTACGAACACGACCACACCCTTTTCATTGTCAGCGAATTCTCAGAATCGGGCACACAACATCTTTATATTTGACTTACGGCTCTCTTCTCAATTGCATCACTCCAGCGTTTGATGCTAGCCTGATAACCTTCGGATTCCGGTGTCAATACCGTGGAATTACCCAGCGCATTTCTCAGCTCCTGCACTAGTGAATCATCAATCCATGAACTACTATCTCTCGACAGACTGGAGTCTTTGAACTCTTTCACCAGAAGTCCCTCAACTTGAATACTGTTTCCTTGTGAGATGGCCATGTCTGTCCACCATGTAAGAAGAGTAGATGCACTGATTTTTCAAGGTAGTATATGTCTCTCATGCATGAGACATCGAAGCAAGAATATCACTTGGACTTATATCTTCCATTTTTTCGGACTGCTGCGGATTCTACAGACTCCGAAACCCAGGTTCACCACGACCGGTAGGAGGCCAAAACACTGCCACCTACCTCAGGCTTGGATTTCCCGATGCCGGGCGATGGCGCGGTCTGACTAGAGGAAGAATTCGCAAAGCGACATAGCTGCAATTGCATATGTCTACGGATCAAGATTTAGGTGTGGTGATATTCATCACACCCCCTTGCATTTCATCTTTCATGACAATCAGTACCTATCGTTACGCAGCTGACGAGATTAAATGCAGGGGTACCAGAAAATCCTTTCAGAAGTGAGCTGACACTGTTAAGGATGATACCTACACATTCGATAGTGTTTTGCCATACTACAAGAAAAGTACAATATTCATGGCAAAGCCTAGGCGTGTTGTTCATTATCACTGAGAATGGAGAAAGGCCAGGGCATGATACCGAGACGTGTGAACTGCAAGCAAAGAGAATGCGTTGGCAAGAAGATTCAGCAATCAATAATGCTGTGCTTCAAACAAAAGGCAGAGCCTTACTCTTGTTGTCCGGTCACCGGCGATGGCTTCGGCATCTTCCGTGCGCTGAGCTATCACCACTAGTCCAACAAGAGGAAAGTCTCTAGACGCGAGTTGCCTCGCGCTTTCGGACTTTCGGCAACTTTGGAAGCGAGGGTTGAACTATTAATCGACTTGACCTCTCCTCCTCCTCCTCCTCCTAATCTTGCAACGCTCTGACCTCGCTATCGAGGTAAGTGCGTGAGACGGTTATTGATCGTTCCTTTTCTCAAATCCCAAATCTTGGCTTCTGCGTTCTCGGCTGTCTGTTCTAGCAGACTGGAACGCAGTGTTCTTGGTATGAAGCAGTGTACAGTATCATGACTCGCCTTCTCTCGCTTCCCGCTGACTCTTTGCTGACCTCTCGCTTTCCGCTCGCTCTTCATTTACTCTTTCGCTTCCCGCTCGCTTTTGGTTGACCTCGATAGCCACGTTGACTCCTTCCATCACGCAATGCGCTTCTCCCATACTTGGGGTTAAAGCTGGCACCAATTAGATCCTAGCCTCATCGCAGCTGCCCATTGCCTGTGGGATTTTGCATCGTCCTCTCCTACTACCACCTCTCCTTCCTTTTTCGCCCGTCTCTTCCCCCGTTCTCACACCCAACGTCCCAAAATTTTGTGGAATCTAGCCCTGAAGGCCTTCAATGCCTCGAGCTCTTAATTTCTCGACATATTCATGAGAGAACAAGCCCATATCTCTTTGAAAACAACAAATAAGCCTTACCCTTATTGGGAGCCGATGACCAGTCCTCTGCAATGTCTGCATTCACAAATGAGAATAGCGCGGCAATCCATTAAAAAATTGTCATAACGAGGACACATCCGTCGAACAGTCGCCAGCTGGCACTTTGGACTGCGACAGCGGAGACCTCGAAAAGCAACCAGTACTACAGAGGGGAACGCTACGCCTGCAGCGCATCAAGATCCCGCCCAACCGCCGAAAAACCCAGATCTCATCGAATTTGAAGACTTGGGATCCTTCCTTGAACCCTTCCTTGAACCCCATGAACTGTGCAAAAGGCCACAAATGGATGGTCTCCCTTACGATGGCTCTTATGACGCTGGCCATCATCACATTTGCAAGCAGTATGTTCAGCACGCCGTCCATAAGTCACTGCAGAAGAATTCGATAATGATATGTCGTTTCTTCGCCGGATTCTTCTGATGTTCGCCTCTCGCTGTCGTTTGAGGAGCTCTCGCTGATTTCTGAGACCCTGTCGAGCGTGGTTCCGCGCTGGGAATGTTCGCCATGATGACATTTGTCGGTCCTGTCCTTGTCCCAGTCATAGGTTCATTCATTACGATCAGCTATCCGCGATGGCGGTGGACGGAGTGGATCACCGTGATCTTCGGCTTCTCTGGTTTCGTCCTAGGGCTCTTCGGTTTTCAAGAGACCTGCCCCCCTCTGATCCTTCAAACCCTAACCCAGGCCGAACGAATCCGTTAGAAGACCAAGAATTGAGCTATTCACGCTGCAGCGAATGAAATGGAGATCAATGCACTGGTCATCGCACAAGAATATCTCGTCAGGCCCTTCACGATGATATGGCGAGAACCTGTTCTCGTGCTTGTCACCCTGTAAGCTCAAAACAATAGCTTTCCCATTCCTTACATCAGCACACAAGGCCACAGACTGACCACTTTCTACATATCCAGATACATGGGTCTGGTGTATGGCATACTCTACCTCTTCTTCGAAGCTTTCCCCATCTCCTTCTGAGAGAAGCGTGGGTGGAACGAAGGCGTTGGGGCCCTCCCCTTCCTCTCCATTGTGGTTGGCGTCTTCCTCGACGGTGGCTACATCGGATGGTGGTCGAAAAAGGTTTATCGCCACAAGCTAGGGACAAATGGACGAGTGGTAGTTGAAGAGAGGCTTCCGCCTATGATGTTTGGTGGAGCATCTTTGACCACTGGTCTCTTCTGGTGGGGTGGGTCCAGCTTTCCGGGTGTCCACAAGCTATGGGTTTCGCGACTTTTCGCTGGAATCCGGTTGGGGCGGGCATTCTCATCGTCTTCGTGCAGGGTCTCAGCTGATTAGTCGAATGCTACAAGTGGTACGCCAACAGTGCAATCGCTGCCAGCACTTGCTTCCGAAGTATGCTGGGAGCTGAAGCCCCACTCTTTGCTGCTGCCAAGTATCACAAGCTCGGGGTTCCGTGGACTACGGGTCTGTTGGCATTCCTCACTCTGGCTTTACTGCCAGTGCCTTTCTGTTCTATAAGTGGTAATAATAGGCATGATAGTGGTAGCCATCTATATCGATTTACCGAATTTAAGATTTCGTATTTCCTAGTACTTCGCGTTTCCTCGTGAAACTAAGTAGATTGTTTGATTGACGGGTATTCCCGCACCAGACTGCCAAGAAGATACAACAGTAGACTTATCGGCCGCACGAGCGAATATACATGTGAGTTGGGTCATGCTGATTGGCTGAGTGAGCCAAGAATTCCCTCAATGTCAAACAGTCTACAAGTACTTGCAACTTTTCTCTTAGCTCCAGACACTAGTTTCTTGCCTAAGCTACCTTAATGTACGAGCTTACCTTATCTACCAACTCATGCAACGATAAAAAAGGCCAAAGAAAGACCTTCCTTCCCACTGGTCTGTTGATTTTCCAAATGGCCATACAAGTCAGCTCCTGCAGAGTGGCACGCCAAAAACTTGTGAATTCTTTGATAGAGCGAGGACACCAGTAAATCCTTCCACTTAGCCGAATTCCGGTTAATCTGGTGGTGTCCTCACTCTAACAAAGAATTCACTTCTGGATTATACGAGTAGTTCGTTCTAGCCTTCGTAACCAATGCGTTGGCGGTCATCATGGGCCGAACAGGTCGCAGCTGTTTAATATAAATATATTGCCATGTTTCGTCCGGCATTGGCGTGTGTGTTGCGACGTCCGAGATATAATCTCTTGTTAGATCTGTCACGTTCTTTTCCATGCGGAGTCCACCTCATCCTTTTACTTTCATTCTGCATTGACAGTATGCTTTCCTTGTCCTGTCTGTTCTTGTCAACGATTCTTTTCCCCACTTCTTGCTTTGCCAATGTTGTCGGACATCGCGTGCTTAGCACGGAGTCTATCAATGGCGCAATCTATCCTCCAACGCACGTTGCTAAACTTCCCAGCCACATGGTTTCTACACATTTGAGCGTGCACCCTACTCAGGCACTTAATTCTTCTTTGGCAACAAGCAAAAACACAACAGACGGTCCAACATCCCAGACATTTCAAGGCTCTTTACGCGGATCTAGGGTTGTAGAGTCCACCATTCCTAGGGTCATCGAGGCTCATACTACTTCAACACCAGCACTGTCCAGCAGCTGGGCGACAAGTAACAACGTTTCATCCCCCTGTGGAATTACTGAATCATCGCATACATCCCAGGGCTCACAGAACACCACCAGGGAGACCTCATCTACCGTTCGAAACGAAGTGATCTTTGCAAACACCACTTCGAAACACAGCTTAACTCGAACCACACCGTCTGCTAGGAATGGGTCCTTTTCAGCTACCTTAGGACTAACATGGAGCCGAGGAAGTGCTCATACTCAGCTTCTCCGCACTGGATCGAGCAACCCAAAGAATTACTCGGCTAGAGTGTCCACTTCTCCCTACTCGGCTGCGGGCTTGGGCAACATGTCATTTACTACAGAGTTCAAGTCCTTGTCAGAATGGTCTCCAGAATCAAGCGATTCCCATAATGTGACCGCAGTGACTTCCGTTCCGGGTCCTAACGGTAACTTTACTACCAACCGGAGGTTATCAAGGTCAAGCCAAATTCAAAGCCGCGCGGGCGCCATTGTAAGTACTGCAGCTGCTACCGAAAACCCACATCTTCTTGCCACTACTGCTTCAGCAAAAGCAACCACTGCTTCGATAACCCATGTCTCATCTGGACTCAGCAGTACCAAAACAAGTCGTGGAAGTTGGCCAGCGATCATCTCATTTTGCTCACATTCAGACGGTGTTGCCTTTGTTGGGATTGGATTCATCACCACTCTTGCGGATGGAAAATCTTCAATCACCAATACCAGCCCGAGTCAATCACTCATATCAGCGAGTGCGGGCCCAGGTTGCGCTGGAGAGGTTGCTGTCTCCAGATATGGTCTCATTACAACCATCCAGCTATCTACTCTTCCGTCTGCAACGGCGTTTTCAGATTTCAGTGCACAAATTGTGACTCAAAGTGATAGCGTGATACAGTACAGCCCCGAAACAATTTCCGGATACAACAACGCACAGCCCATCGAGATCTCGACCAATTTCGTGGAAGTGGTCGATGGACACACCACGACACAGGGAGGATGGTGGCTAATCGGAGTTAATGGACACATCGAAGTTCCAAAAAATCGGCTATGGAAAATCGGCAAAGGCATAGGTTGCATTGGTGGACCCGCACTCTGCAACATGCCATGTGGGGCTGTTGACGTAGGCCTTGACCTATTTGTTCTCATTGATCACCATGACTGTACACCTGATGAAACAGGCCCACCTGGATATCCCGGAGGTGCTGTTCTTGGTATCGATCCGACAGTGGATCCACCTTACCCGCAAGACGGAGAAGGTTCCGACGACGGAGAGCAGACGGGGGATCCTGAGAAGAAGACCGCCACAAACGAAGATGAGTCGACTACTACCTCCATGACGACGTCAAGGCCGAGGTCAATCGCGTCTTTATCAACAGTATCATCTGCAAGCCAGACCTTGTCAAGTTCAGCATCCGCCATACATTATATTGTAGTTGCAGTCGTAGGCGCCGACCAGACTAACTTAGAGCAAGCACTGCGAGAGTTTGACCCCGAAAAAGGAGGATCTTACGAGCCTGATGTTGGTGACACATCAGTCAGCGGTGGCACGTGGGTAGATTATGGGCTAAACTCAACTGAAGCGGAGCAGCTTTCCTCGCGAAGCGACATTCTGGCTCTCGTCACGTGTTGTGCCACAGTGTCAATGTTCGGGCCTGGGTCCAGCCCTCCGGCCCCCCCACAGACCGTTGATTCTACAGTGTCGCTTGTCACTCTGATTCCATCGTCTCTGGCGACTTTACCAGCGTCCATCATTCCCAAACATCGCCGAGGCAACGTTGGCTCAAGAAGCAGCTCTGGTGTTGTTCGTAGTCATGTTCAGACAAAGACCAAAGTTGAGGACAGCCTGCAAAAAAGAGATGTGGGCACGCGACTAGTCCGACAAAAGCGAACCCTGAACACCTACCCAGAAGATCTCTCCGTGTTCGCTTGGGCGCCTGGTGTACCATCTATCGCGGGCACTGACTACATATTCGAAGAAACCAAGGGTGAGAGTACCTGGGTTTATCTTGTTGATACTGGCGTTGCGTATCGCCATTGGGTATGTGTCAGAGAGTCCTGTCATGAGTCTAGAGCAATACTAAGGTGCTGCTATCAGGAGTTTCAGAATAATTGGATTTCAGTTCATGACCACGATAAAACCAATATCGACGACAATTGGATCTATGGACCTGGTGCGCCCCAAGTTAAAGCAGACTATCATAGCGGGGGACATGGCACATGCATGGCCTCAAGGATATGTGGCAAAAGAAGTGGGATCGCAAAGCAGACAACCATCATTCCAGTGGTCATACGAGAAAGTTTAGGAGGACTCGTCTCGGGCCTCCAAAAGGCCCTGGAGGATATCCCAGAACGGCAGAAAAAAGGGCAATCCCTACCCGGAAAGACCGTGGTCAGCATTTCATTGAATGTGCCAACCACTGACAGCAAATACATCACTTTACTCAGCGATGCAATCAAGGGTATTATGAATCTCGGTGTCGTGGTCGTGTGTTCTGCGGGTAATGATGGTGACGACCCTGACTTGGATGATTGGGAAGCCTATACTTATCCAGCGGCTTTGGCAAAAACGCAACTCCCTTGGCTAATGAGAATTGGTGCAGTAGACAACAAGGGTGTCCTCCCTGACTGGGCACAAAAGGGCGATGTCTACGCTCCCGGGGTCAACGCTCTGTGCGCCAATAAAGATGGTCTCACCTTGGAGGAACAAAGCGACGGCTCTTCGGGTGCTACTGCCTCCGTCGCAGGGCTGATCGCATATGAGATGGGCAAGACATCATGCCCGTTTGACTTCTCGGGTAAGGAGGAGGACTATCCAGCGTATCAGCGGATTACCAAACAATATTACACAGACGGTCCTGGAGCCTATGTGCGGCCTGGAGGCGTGTGGCGTGTGGCTTGGAATGGCCTCGATGGAAGGGCAAGTACCACATGCCCACTCACTGTGCAGAAGAGAGATGGTGAAGATGACGGTGAGGACGATACGTGTGCGCAGCCGAGCTCCGCATCTTCAGCCGCGGCGGCAGCTTCTTCCTCGGCCTCAGCTGCTGCTGCCGCTTCCTCTCTAGCCGCCGTAACGGCAGCATCGTATGCTTCAGCACTGGCCGCTGAGTCGCCATCTCCCACCACAAACCCTCCGCCCAAGGCGCCCGATAGTCCTGGACTATTTATCGGACTATTAGTCCAGACTAGTCTACTAAATCAATAATCCAGACTAGTCCGATGATTTTGTTAATAGTCCTAGACTAGTCCAGGTATTTGATAGACTAGTCTAGGACTATTAGTCCTGATAGTCCAATAATCGATTTGTAAGCGTGCATATTTGAGTCTAGTGGGCGTATTTTTAGATTTTTTCTTCAAGGCACGCCACATGAACAGTCATTCTTTATTTAATAAATATATCATTATGGCACACAATGACAGCGATTCCGAGCTATCGGAGGCCCCTACTATTGCTACCAACCCATTCAGCATCGCCGCAGGGTCCGTAGCCTTCAGCAGCAAGATTGAGTCTTTGTATGAGTAGACTAATAGTCCGGGACTAGTCTAAATTGTCTAGACTAGTCCAGGCTTTGGACGGACTATGGACTATTTGTATAGCTTCAATTTAGACTAGTCCGGCCCTCAGGACTAGTAGTCCGGACTATCGGGCGCCTTGCCTCCGCCCTCTCCTATCACCATAGCGCCTCTTCTGTGGTGTACGCAACTGTATGTCTTTCCTCTTCACTGCCACCCGAACCGCTCCCTGAATAATTCTCATACCCATGTTCTATCAGGCTGACCGGTCACTCACACATAGGGATGAGATCCTGGAAGGCGGCAGAGATCCTAGTATTACACATAAGTGCACCTGTGATGATGGGAGCAGGCCTACGCCTACTGTGTTTCGGGACGAGTTTGTGTGTCCATTTCATCAGTATGATATCTAAAGATGCTTCTACGGGTGTACCCCCCACTGCTTGACCACGGCAGGTGCTTAGCGCAATGCATTCCCGTTTCCTGCGAATTCCTATGGTAGAATGCCTTTTCGATCGTGAGTTTTTTTGTTTGTTTATACACTTCCGCTAGGCTCGGGCCTTTGTCGCTGCCTAACCGGTATCTTTTCAGGTACTTTCGTGTTATACTCGCTAGCACGTTTTCCCTGTCCTCCCTACTTACCCTTCCCTTTTGCATCGCTTTGCTCTGCTACCTAACGCATTGGCACTATTTGACACTCTGATGGCTTCGTACCATCCTAACGGCAATGCTGGAGGAATGCTTCGTGACAAGAATACCGCCCGCGTGCTTCCCATATCCTTATCACTGTTCTGGCGCGAGCAAGAAGCCAAACGTACGTACGCTCGCTTCACTCAATTCTGTATCTGGTCGTGCGCCGTTCCGGCATCTCCGCCAAAACCCCGGCAACGCTGATGATATTGCCCCACGTGGCGCAAAGCCGCCCGGATGGGAAAGCGTTGCGATTTTCGTCTTTGGTTTGAACTGCGCAATTGGCGGCAAATGCAACCAACTCGCCTCTGTCTTACGCCAGACAATTGGACGAAGGTCGTGTTTTTTTATCTGTTTGTGTTTGATGAACCCATCCGGGGCTGGCCTGTAATACCTTCCTCCACTGCGGGTTTCGGGCAGGTCGGTCTGAACAATGTCGTCCCACCCCCGGGGCTGCTTGAAAACCGATGGTTGAGATGTCGTGCACCGTGATGCACTAGGCAGCCAGACGAAAAATGCATTGATGTCGGGTACGGAGTATGGTAAGGCACCGGTTGCGCTACAGCTTCCTATTGCATTGGCTCATGAGCACCCTGCCCGCTCTTTCGGGCCAAGGCGACAAGGACTTGTAGGTCTTACGCATGGTTTACTACTCCGCAGAACGTCGGGCCTGGGGGGGTGTCTTCTTCTTCTTTATTCTTTCTTTGTATGACCAAGGATATTTACTCTCCTTGTATTCTTATACGAGTTTCATTCCTTCAAAGCAGTGACTTCTCACAAGAGCGCTTGAAAACCCTTCCCCGTTCTCCTCCTCCACCACTGTGTGCAACATGGAAGCTTCAGAGTCTGCTTGCCATCAGTCTCTATTTTACGTGGGCGGCAATTTTGTGGACGACAAGAACCGTCACGGAAAGCTCCTTGGAAAGCGCGTGATGCAAAGGCAGATCTCTGTGGAACGATTGACTCCTCTTCTTGATACTAGGCACGCGTTGCCATTGGTGTTTATTCATGGCGGTGGACAAACTGCATCGGTTCGTTTCGCACCGGGTCTCAAGTCTTCTTGCAAACGTGTGCTTTCCGGGATGGTATCCTTATCTTCCCTTCACCAGTGACAATACATTTCATGATGAGAATTACCATTTCCTATCCATCACCTCTGCTTTTCACGCTGATTGACGACTAGAATTGGCTCAATATTCCTGACGGCCGCAAAGGATGGGCTTCCTACTTCATTGATCACAGCTACGTAGGCTATCCTTTTGATCCGCCCACCCGTCGTCGTTCAGCGTGGCAGCTTTCCTCCAACCCTCTTGGCACCGTGCCAGCCGGCTTCGTTGAAAAAATAATGAAAGCTGTGATACGAGCTGGGTCTTCGAATGAGAACAAGCATCCTTCTTGAAGACATGGACAGGAAGCACTTAACTTCCCAAAACCTCTCTTTCTCCCGGGACCTCCACGGCTGAATCCAAACTCTGGCCTCAAACTCAAATCCATACGCAGTGGCTCATTTTCGGTCGAGCAGGTGATCCCATTTTCGATGCCAACTACGCCATCACAGTACAATCCTTAGAAGACAAGGACATCGAACAAAGTGGTTTAGAAGTGGCTGATAGCGCACTGCTCGACCGTATTGGTCCGGCAATCTGCGCGGTTCCCCAAACAGGCGGGCGTCGACGTCGAGTGGCTTCGACTGACGGATCGTGGGGATTCGGGGAAATGGGTATATAATGTTCATGGAGTTGAACAACCTAGAGATTGCACAATTGCTCGAGAGTCGGATGGCCAAAGTGGTTTGATAAGCTACTCCAGGAGTAAGATCTTCTCTTGCTTTCAAAGCTGTAATTCAAAAATAAATTTTATTCCAGACAGTATTCGGTGGCCACAGAACACAAATCAAATCTGATGTTCCACGGTAAAGCCTCATCCAGACGCAGGGACACTGCCCCTTCAGTGGGTGTTTCCCTCATACAGGTGGTGAACCAGCTTCCTTTTCCAGGCTCCCGAGAGAGGGTGCTCGGGAGGATGAGAAACAGTGTCGATATCCCGCACGCCGCCCTTTCCCTCGAAGCTCACCATCGTATACAGAGATTTCGAAGGTGAAATAAAAGAGGTGCACAAAGACACCCGATTCGATATAGCGTGAGGTCGCGACATTTGCTGCAAGCATAAAGGCGGGAAACTCAAACTCGAGGGGCAACGCCTGAGCAAATTTTCACGGATTCAAGGTACTGCAGAGCTCGCTGAAATATACGAAGTGAGAGGAGAGCTGCTCACAGAGCCTATGATGAGCAGTGACGAGGAAGAGGCACACTATGCTCCTCACCTTGAGTTGGCAGCCATACTCGTACTGTTCCAGATGGGCTCGGCATCGAACTTCTTCACGTGCTCGGCTACCATCTAACCTGACTTGTGACTCCGCAAACATGGACTCAGCTCTCTTAAGATATCTCTGTTCGTAGATACTTGGATCTCAAATCGATCTAAAAAGTGGTTAGTACCTATTGATAGATTTCAGATTCTATTGAACGATGTTGTACAGAGTAGGTTCTCAGATGCATTCTAATTCGCGACATGCGATTCGCGATTTGCGCTCATCGTAAGGCGAAATCGCCGTACACCGTGGGCGAAGGCCAAAGAAAGAGCGCTCTTATCCGTGGTTCTCATGCACTCGCTCGGATTTTCGGGTGCTAGCCCCCAGACTGCTTTAGGAAAGTGAGATCAACACGACAGTTTCAGCCCGCAACATCACATCTGGAGTCTGGCTGCATCTTGGTGTCATCATCTATCTGTGGCCCAGCATCAATGGCTCCTCTCTCTGACAAAATCCTCTTCTTTGATAACACAGCAATCATGGGTCTCTGAATTGACCGGCCCCCAACCCCCCCCCCTTCACACTCAACCAGATTCTCATTGTCGTTCCAAGAACGGGACTGAGAGAGCACTGTCGCTACCCATCCATGGTACCTTGAACACTCATCATTTATCTCTTCGATACAATCAATCCTTCGCCCATCACAGGCGCACATCACGCCTCCAATTCACCCAGTGATCAATCATGCAACTTAACCCATTCGCCACCCACTCCCTCCTCTTCACCACCCTCCTCCAACCCTCCCTCGCCCAGACGCCCTCCAACTTCGCCTTCAGCACCACGAACCCGCTAATTGTGCAATTCAACACCACAACCGTTTCTCCCCAAGGGGAACTGTTGCCCGAAGCCGGTACGTCTCCGTCCTCTCCTCTGCCCTCAACCCCCCATTCCTCTCCACCGCTGACGGGCCCCAGCCGTCGCCCTCCCCCCAACCCTCGGCACCACCGCCGTCCTCCCCGGCACCTACCTGGCCGTCATGGTCGACCCCGGCGCCGGCACCGCGACCGAGGTCTTCGAAGTCCTGCACTACCTGCTCCCGGGCCTGACCTCCCCCGACGCCCCCGCGACGCGCAACGGCACGGCCTTCTACCCCCTCACGACCGCCGCCCAGCCGCTCGCGCCCTATCTCGTCCCCGCACCCACGCCGGGCGACGCGCACTCGTACACCCTCACGCTGTGGAAGCAGCCAGAGGGCTTCGCGGTCCCCGGCGCCTTTCTCCGCTACTTGCCGCTCAATGCGTCGGATCCGACCAATCGGTATCCGTTCAATCTGACGGGCTTGGTGGCGGCCGCGGGGTTGGGACAGCCGCTCGCGGCGGGATATTTTGATGTGCAGAACACTACTGCTAGTGCTACGACGACGGCGGGGCATACGACTACGAGTGGGGGAGCGAGTAGTACGACATCGTCGTCGGGGCACAGTACGAGTGAGGGGAGCAGTACGGCGACGGGGAAGACGGTGGCGGCGACCAGTTCGGCCGCCTTGATAGGTGCCGAAGGTTGTGTGAGTGTTTGGTCTGTGGGCTGTTTTGCATGGGCGCTCTTGGCGTTGGCCGGCGTTGCGGCTCGGATGTGAGCAGGCCGGAGAGGAGTATAGTATGGGCATGGGATGAAAGTCAGATACTAGGCTCATTCTTTGCTTTCAATGGAATATTATGGTATGTTAATGGGAGCGGCGTTGATCTAGAGCTTAGAGCTACGTGTAGCTACTGGACCAGTGTAGATCAGCTGCGGCCGCCATATAGGCGGCGAGTTCACTGCAGGTCAGCCGTCAACACCCCACCTCTGATTCAGTCTGTATTCTAAGGGGTTGATCGACTTACTATTGAATTCCCTCCACCGGGCCATGTACCCCTGCGCCCTCGCAATCGCCGTCAGCGGGAAGATGATCTCGGGCGGCAAACCACTAACACAAATCCATCAGTCCCTCCAATGCTAACGCCAAGTAACGATACGCCAATGCACTCGATCCACTGTAGGCGCTTCCAACCGAGGAAAGGGTGGAGGAGATGGAGCGCAACGTACAGCGCAGTATAGACAAAGCACCCAAAAAGATCAACATTCATCCTGATGTTCCTGCTCCGGAACCACTCATCCTCGCTCGCGCATCGCTCAATCTCCTCCGCGACCTCCACAATCTCGAACTTGCGGCGCTCGAACCCGCCCAAGATCTCCTTCACAAAGCCGGCGCGCGGATCCACAGTCTCGTACACGCGATGGCCGAACCCATAGAGCTTCCCCCTCCCGCTCTTCACCTCCGCGATCAGGGCCGGCACCTGCGCTGTTGAGCCCACGCGCGCCAGCATGTGGTAGACCATGTCGATGGCGCCGCCATGCAGGGGCCCGTAGCCGGCGCTCAGGGCGGCGATGAGGCAGCTGACGGGGTCGGCGCGCGTGGAGGCCGTGTGCAGGAAGGCGGCTGTGGCGTTGGCGAGGCCGTGGTCGGCGTACAGCAGCCAAAGTTTCTCGATGGCGGTATGCTCGTGTGTCGAGAGGGGGCGGCCGAGCATGCGGAAGACGTTGGCGGCGAAAGGGAGAGTGGGGAGAGGCGGCGTGAAAGGCGTGGAGGTGCGGTGGCAGTAGGTTATTGCGACGACGAGGGCGAGGGCGGAGAGGGTGGGGGTGATCTGGGCTTCGATTGTTAAAGGGGAGTTGGCGTACTCGTAGAGGTTGGCGCCTATGAAGGCGGGAATTGTAGTGGGGCGGGAGGAGAGGTGGGCCGATAGGCCGGCGAGGATCATGGTCATTGGGGGGTCGGTGGTGCTGGTATTGAGGAGCGTAAGTTGGACGCTTGAGCTAGGTACGGTGGAAGGGCGTGCTCACGGGAAGGCGTGGATGACGCTGAAGATTGTGTCTGCGGGCGTCGACAGTGCGGCTGCAAGCTCTGTTCGCAGCTGGGCTTTCTGCGCTTGGGACGGCAGATAGCCCCAGGTGAGAAGGTGGAGGATGTCCTCATATTGTAGGTCTTTGTGGTAGAGTTCGCCGACGGAGTAGCTTCTGTAATGCAGGGTTCCAGTGCTGCCATTCCTAGATTCAACACGTGGATGTCAGCGCGGGCTGGGGAGCTTGCTGGTGCTTGTCAAGTTGTTCATACAGATATGCAACTTCTGACTCGACGACGGCGGTGTTTCGAAGTCCTGGGTCAGAGACGAGCAGACCGGTATCGGCATCAGGCGCTGTTATTTGCTTGAAATGGGGTGCGTGAATTGCGTTGTGGGATATTGGGATCTCGTAAGTCTTTCTTGTACGGTTGTCAGTAATACTGAGCGAAGCCTTCTGGGTCATAGTGTTGAAGATTCAATTGAACATCGCGTCGTACATGTTGCTCGCCGATTATGGCTGTCGATGTCAGGTGCCTCGTCTGCACGTAATTTCTGAAATTAACTTGAATTTTCCATGCCGTGGCATCAGAATCGGCGGCCTTGTTCGGTGTAGCGAACGGTAAGATCGTAGCGCGGTAATTTGTCATGCATCCATCAATGGGGCCATGAGGGGCACGTGCATTAGCGGTGACCTTTAGTTACAGCTTCGCAGCCACTTACCTTCGGCTTCTCCGTGATAATTGTGTAGTTGTGCAGACGGGCCAGGTAACGAATTTGAAAGTGATAGCGCAGAGAAGCATAAAACTTCAGAGCACTTGTTTACCTGATTGATATTTATAGCAATGGCAACGAGGACGCCGAACGACAATACCCGCCAAGCTTACGATCAAATCATTATCGACATCACCACCTACGTCTATCACCACAAGCCATCGAGTCCCAAAGCATGGCTCCACGCTCGCACGGCGCTTCTGGACGCCCTTGGCTGCGCCATCGAGACCCTGACGACAAGTCCTGAATGTGTGCGCATGCTAGGCCCCGTTGTTCCGGGCACAGTAGTTCCCAATGGCTTCAGGTTGCCTGGTACCTCGTATCAATTAGATCCCGTCAAAGGAGCCTTCGATATGGGTACACTGATTCGCTATCTTGACCATAGTGATGGGTTTTATGGCGCTGAATGGGGACATCCGTCGGGTAAGTTGTCTCCCCGTGGTAGAAAACACACCAGCGTATTCAATGGCTCGAACGTGAATTGATATTGATAATGGAGACAACCTTGGTGCCATTCTCGCCGTCAGCGACTGGCTCAATCGTACCTCCCCCAAAGTCCGCGGCAGTAATCCCATGGCTCCGCCCCTCACAGTGTCAACCCTTCTCACCGCTCTCATCAAAGCCTATGAGATCCAAGGGATATTTCAAATCCTTAATTCCTTTAACGCCCTTGGTCTTGATCATGTCATTCTCGTCAAAGTATCCGCGACGGCGGTCACCTGCTGGCTTCTAGGCTTGAGCGAGCCGCAGACCCACGCAGCGTTGTCCCAGGTCTGGATGGATGGTCACCCTCTGCGAACTTACCGCCATGCGCCGAATACTGGCCCACGGAAGGGTTGGGCTGGTGGAGACGCCTGTATGCGGGCAGTACACCTATCGCTTCTCACCAAAGCTGGGCAGCCAGGAGCTCCCACTGTGCTGACGGCTCCGAGATGGGGTTTCTATGCGGCGACTTTCAAAAACCGAGTCTTCTCATTCCACCGCCCGTTTGGAACGTGGGTCATGGAAAACATCTTCTTCAAACTCATACCAGCTGAAGGCCATGCGATCTCTGCTCTCGAAGCTGTGCTGCAAATTAGTCGCACGATAGCAGACCTAGGGCTAGATGTTGATGAGGACATATCAAAAATCAGAGTCCGGACGCATGCTGGTGCCATTCTTATCATAAGCAAATCAGGCGAGTTGTACAATGCAGCAGATCGAGACCATTGTATGCAATATATGATGGCGGTGACTTTTCTGAAAGGTTCGCTGGTTGAGTACAGTGATTACAGCGACACCAGCCTATGGGCAAACGATCCCCGGGTGGACCGGCTGAGAGCGAAGATTGAGCTGGTGGAAGAGGAACGGTTTTCCAGAGAATATCTCGATGTTGATAAGAGGAGCGCCGCGAATGGAGTAAAAGTCATGTTGCGTGATGGCCGGGAGCTTGATGAGATCGTGATAGAGTACCCACTCGGTCATGCCTTGAGGCCAGAGACTATTGGCGCTGTTGAGACGAAGATTCGGAAGAACTTAGAGCGAGCGTTCTCTCCACGGGAGGTGGAAAAAATATTCCAATCGTCCGAGACTGAAGATATGCCGATCAAGGACTTTGTGGATCTTTTTGCTAAAGATAAAGAAGCACATGCAAAATTATAACACAGTTCATAGCAAACCCACAAGCGTCAACGATAAAGTTGCTTAGATTTTGGGTCGTACCGGGTGATCAAGCTTGAATGGCTGTGAAAGGAGACTAGTCAACGTGATAACGTTGTCGAGCTTCTCCAAATTTAACACTGTCTTCTCAATCGCAATCTGCCTATCTCTGGGTAGGAGATTAGCTGTGAGCCTCCTGTACTTCTCCACGATTTCTTCATTTGCAATGGGAGGATCTATTCCTCTCGGTTTTTCGACCACCTTCTGCAAACTTAGTCTGTCATCTTTGAAATCGATCGTAACGACCGCCCCCATCTCGTAACTCAGTCGATCAAACCTCTCATTGTGCACGCATACAGTCTTCTCAACCAATTCCCATACCTCATCTCGGTCGAGCTTGCTCTCTTCGAATTGTTCCAAGAGAACCTCTTGGTCCACAAGTTGAACTGCCGCAATGTAATTGGCGTTCATCTGCGCGCCGGTGGCAGTCATGGGTCTCGTGGCGGTCCAACCACAGTGCCCTATCAGCGGCTTCGATAGCTCGAGTCTGATTTCCTTAATAGCTTGCAAGTCTTTGAGCTCTTCCGGTTTCTCTTTCTGCATCTTCTCAATACATTCGACAAGACCATAAGCTCCGCCAACACAAGCATGAGTCTTGATCCGCACCTCAGCTGTATCCCACGTCGTGCCCAATCCCTTCGTGACCTCCTCAACCACGTACGCAGGCGTCCTACTATTTCCCTTGCTGAACATTGTCAAGAACCCACCATACGGCCTCTCAAATACCTTCCTGATTCCTTCGTAGCCGCCTTTGGCTAAGAATGCCCCCAGAAGTCCATTACGCGCCGCGAATCCATGCTGCATGCGCTTAATCATACCTTCATACTGCGCAGACATCAGCCCACACGCCTGCGTGCACGCGATGCCAACCGCATCCTCAGTTTGCCTGGCGCTCAGAGCAAACAATTTCGACGCTGCGGCCGCAGAGGCTGGGTGCCCGAATACTGTACCGCAGTGCCAGCCCATGGAAAGAAGTTCCGTACCGTAAAGGGCGCGGCCGGCACGCGGCCCGACTTCGAAACCGACAATACTCGCAAGGAGGAACGTGCTACCAGTTACGGGTGCTGGAGGCCGGGCATGACTTTGAGATTCTGAGGCGGCGAAAAGAGTGGGGAGGATGACGGATGCTGAATGGAGGGGGGCTTCATGGTGGTAGTCGTCCAGTTCGCAGGCTTGAATGAAGGCGCCGTTGAGGAGGGCGGCGGCCAGGGGCCCCAATTTCTAGATGGGCTGTTAAGGAATGGAGCACGAGTGAAGCAATGAGAATTTCATAAAACGCTAGCCTTCCATGCAAGTTTGTGCGATCAATATGCAGGGGAATGACTTCCGCTATACCAGTAAAGAATCGGAATCGTACATATGGATGTCCAAATATGGTAGCATTACCATTTGGCTCAAAAGCCTGCATACTACTAGCAGCGTGTTCGGACCATGGCATATGCGCGCCAACTATGGCGCAGGCGAGACCGTCAAGGATGAGATGTTTGGCACGAGTGCGGATGTCTTCTGGGACGTCATCAAATTGCAGATGATGTATCCATCTGCAAAGATGCTCAGTCGTTCCAGGAGCTTCAGGCCTCTCACCACTGATGGCGCCCATCTTGAGAAGATGTTATGCAAATCTCACAGAATGAACAGCGTATTTGCTATGAGAAGGACTAAGTGCGTGAGGTATGGTAGATGTAGAGCAACAAGCGGAAGTTGATATGATCAGCCCTACGGCGCTAGCAATATCTACGGCTAGAGTAAAGTTACCTCAGGTAGAATACTAAGGTACCTAAGAACGGCAGTCAAGCCTAGGAGGGTGTTCAAAACTGATGTCGGTTCTTGGCATGGACGGCTGTAGCACCCAATACAGAGTGGACAGTAGCCAATGCTACTTCTGGTTCATTAACTCACATCGCTACGACAATCAATATATATCTCGAAGAGGCAAGAGCGAAGCTTGCTTACCAGCTATAGACCTAGTCATCATGGGCCGTATCATTCGTGAGGCATCGAAGGCTGAAGCTACCCGCCGTCTTCAATCTCATTGGAAGCCTGCAGCTATTTGCTGAGGTCCGTTGCCATACTCGTACCGTCCAGAGGTGGGTAATGTTGGTCCGGTACTAACTTGCACCTTACCCATCTTGTCAGAATTGGCAGCTCATACTTAGTTCCCAGTGTACCTATATAGAATGGGATCCAGAGAGCTCAGGATAACATCAATTCATCCTTTTTGAATAGTTTCAACATTTACCTGAGTACTTTCTGTGGTGCATTACCACCAATTGTCCTGGTATGACCTACTGTCCATGGCTGACCAATTTCTATACACCCATAGCCTACTTGCTTGCAAATCGGCAAACATTGCTTTCCGGCCTTCAATCGACAGGATTAACACCAATTTCGAACACCACTTACGACAGTGCTAAAGATGTCCTCCCACACGGGCAACAAGTACAATGTCATCATCCATATGTTCCAAGCCCTCCAGTTATCCTTGTCTGCCTGGACATTCCGCATCGTGAGCGTTCTCCCAGCGATTGTCAATCCCACTGCCCCTGGCAACACATACCCCAAAGCATTTAGACCCCAATAAGCAGGGCATACAAAGCTCCATGCCGAGACCAGCACCGCAATGCTATGTCTTGCCGTTACATCTCCTAACAACAGAGGAATAGTCACCCGTCCCTTCGCGCGATCCCCTTCCTGATCTTCCATGTCTTGCACCTGCATCGTGGTTGTGACAATGGCAGCAATGATTGCCAGCCATCGGTAAGCGTCGACGTTCAGCGCGACTTGTTCGCCAATTGCAACTTGAGCTGCACCGGCGCCAAAACATGTAATGGCGGCAGCGTTCATCAGATTGCGTACGAGGAAGCTTTCGTCTGCACCACCGAGGTCATTGTACATGTAAGAGCCAATGATAGCGATGATGGTAACGGGGAGGCCTTGAGGAAGGAAGAACTTGGTGATTGCGAGAACAGATGGGATAGCGATGAGCAGTAGTCGGCGGGCTCCATACGTTGAAATGCGACCGGAAGGAAGTGGCCGCCATGGTTTGTTGAGGCTGTCTTCAAGGACGGAGCCAGGATGGCGTTGATTGGCGATGTCAACGAGGAGGAGGGTGAGCCATATCCAAGCGAGGACGAGGGGCAGGCGGGGAAACAGCTCGGACAAAGACGGTACGGAAGAATTGGTAGTTAGGGAGGGACCAGATAGGGCTGTCAGGATGGCGAAGGCCGTGGATGGAACGACAATGGTTTTAAGATCACTGAATGTAAAGAGCCAGAGGGTTTTGAGGCGGTATTGGAGCAGAGTTTCATTTTTCTTATCATCTCTGTTGTTTTTGATCTGCTGGGAAGATTCGCTGAAAATGAAATTTGTCCGTTTGAGCACAAAGGGACGGACACACACGGGACTCGGAATGTTGTTATGCTTCTCTGTCGCATCACTCATTGTCGGGTCCCCCATATTGAATCTAGAGTCTCGATGTCCTTTTGGCGAATGATTTGGACCGTTCTAGACGATTTGGGAGACCAATCCGGCCCTGCATCGCTGTACAGCCTACCCTATGTCAAGGAGACGGAGAGCCCACGCAACTGTCATCAAGCCCGCTAGCCTGGCCACCACAGCCCTAGGATACCCTCCAGAAGGATATACGTAGGTAGGTAGGCACACCACTAAATTAAGGTACCTTAGGTACATGTATGGTGATAAGCGTGATAAGGTAGGACACGTCACATTTGCGCAATCGGCTAAAATATCGGCCAATCTCTTCGGTCCGCCTCGGCCGCCGATCTAGGAAGCATCCAATGGCAGAGCGACAAGGTCAGCGCTAGTAGATTAGCCTTGCTGATAGGTTCGCGACGTTGCATCAGCTCGACCCACAGTCTTACACCGACCATTCAATTTCGTCCCATGATAACTCTTCAAAAGAACATGCATCCTCCGAAACGCCTTCGGCTTTCTAGCACATGGCTGCAGCAACATGGCACATACCAATGCACAGTGACATCGTCTCTCTCACTGTACCCGACCCACCCACTCAGCTCTTTGCTGCACGATGCTGCAAGCTTTCATTCATCAGCCAAGTGGGATCCTCATCCCTCCTCCACACCTTGCCCCTGATCAGCTCTGCCATCGAGCCTGCCCATCAATCTCAAACATGGAGGAACACATGGCTTTCGAAAGTGCTGCGAGGCACAGCTTAGTTGGGGTCCGCCATAGAGAAAACCCTACAAGCCTATGACGCGGCCACCACCAAGGCTTTCGGAGCTTTTTGCGACCTTTCCTTTCTTCTCAGTCTATCCTGAAGACATGCGCCTAACCTTTACCCCTTGACACCAATCCAAGCGAAATCATCGGGGAAGTGCAATCCACCTTGGAAGCTTGCGGTGTCCAACATGGCTGCCATAACTCCAGAAGTTCGATACCAGCTGGAACACTGGGGCGATGACAGAGGAGCTTCGATCATCGCCGCAGCCAGTATCTTGATGATCGCAACCACTCTTTTCGTAGCATTACGGATATGGGCACAAAAATTGGTCAAGTCGAGTTTCGATCTTGATGATTACCTCATTGTTGGGGCACTGGCAAGTCTTGCAGTCTTCCGCAATGGGAGTCCCTCAATGTTGTTAATATACCTTTAGCTGCTTTGTCTCGGGCTTTGCGCAACTACAATAATATGTGAGTGGCAAGATGCTGATTGGCTGCGCTAGGAGTCGATCTCTCATTAATGAATAACAGGCGTTCACTACGGTATTGGGCAGCATCTGGTCCGAGCGGTCAAGACCGATTCTTTTCCACCAGACAAACTGGTCAATCTATTCAAGGTAATTGCATTATTCCTCGACGAAGTCCTTCAAATACTGACCTTAACAAGGCTATTTGGGTAGAGGGTTTTCTCTGGGCTTTGGAGATACCACTCGTCAAAATCGCCATCCTGATATTCTATCGTCGGATATTCACAGGAAACCAACGATGGTTCAAATGGGCCTTTTGGATTATGCTGACTTACTCTATACTCTGGGGAACTGCTACTTTCATAATTGTCATTGTACAATGTGTCCCGGTGCCTTATTTCTGGAATCGGGCCTATTCGTTTTATGAATTGGATCTTTCCGACGAGGGTTCATGCTTACAGACTCGTCCAAGCCAAGTTCCATCCGCTCTTCTGAATTGTATTGGCGACTTGATGCTATTGCTTCTCCCATTCCCGGTGCTTTGGCGACTTCAGATAAATTTGAGGCGCAAACTTGAGATCATGATCATCTTCGGACTGGGAGCATTGTAAGTCTCAGTGTTATTTCAGGAGAGGTAAAATTCGACTGACTTCAGTCCTTTTAGCGTGTTGGGGGCTAGTATCGTTCGACTCCGGTTTATTTGGCTTGACGAAAATTCCGCGGACCCTACTTGTAAGCTCTGCCTACTCCTTTTCCTCTATGTATAATCGCACGGGATATTTGTTTCCACATGGTCAACCACGCATGTGCTTAGACCTCATACGCCTGCGAGGCGTGACAATTTTGCTGACACTACTTTTCATGTGGTAGGGGACGATGCCGAAACTTTAGTCTGGACCCCAGTAGAATGGTGCGTCGGCGTAATCTGCGCCTGCATACCCTGCATGGCACCTCTTCGGCGCCTTGTTGGCGGCGGCACCGGCTACAGAACCACTGGCAAAGCCAGAACAAAGGATATTCCCTTGGCGACTTCGCATACATGGCCCGGAGAGCATTCAATTTTTCATAGCGAACATAGTAAGAACGACGAAGAGAGCGGTGAGTTCGGTGAAGATGGCTGGGCGTCTAGGATGGAGGCTGTTACAACCAAAGTTGGAGAGCCAGGATCGGAAACTCAGGTATATACCCCTCCATACAGAAGTGTGGTTGTCAATGGGGCGTCGGCGGACCCAAGGGTGAGTGGGATCAGGGAGGAGGTGCCTAGCAATCAGATCAAAGTTAGTAAGGATCTGACGTGGTCGGAAGAAACGACGAGGGAGGGGGATTCATGTTGATGGGTGTGATGATATGTAATAATATAAAAAGTAAAACACGAGCGCACAAAATCATGTTCAGCCTCCTCAACATGGGGAAGTCCACGCCGCCTGGTGTGTATTCTTGATTATCCCATTGGCTTCTTGCATGCATAAAGTACCTTAGTAACCTATCACGAAGTTCTCCAACCGAAGACTCTTTCGAAATACGCTCCAAAACTTCTGCCATTTCCGACTCAACCGGTTCTCCTCCCTTCACTGAACATTGTTTCTTTATTCGAACCTCAGTCCACCCAACCCTCGGTATGAACTCAAAAGAAAAATCCGACCACGACGCCTCTGGAGTCGCCAAATTTCTCACGACAGACCCGGCCGAAGTCGACAAAAAGATCAACGAACCCATCAAAAAGCTCCTACAGGAATATAGTCACATACCACAGGAGACGACGGTGGGACATGTTCTTGAGCTGGTATGCATATATACCTGCCTTCAGAAGCATCTCCGATCCTATTGCGGGGCAGGAGAGGGGTGATGGCCCCACCTTCTACCAAGAATCTGCTCTAGACACAACCAGCACTGAAGGCGCTCCGATAGCTGATCTCCTCACCCACAGCGCGACCGTGCTTTCGCCATCTTTCCGTGAGTCGTTGCTCTCAATCGAACGAAACGAACAAACAAGAGAAGAGGGGGCATAGACGGAAACCCGCGCAAACCAAGCGCTGACCCTCCTCCCTCTCTTAGCTACGCCTGCATCGGCCAACTACGCTTCCTCAACCTCTCCCTCCGCACCCACCCCGCCTACCCGCAAATCCTCCACCGCCTCACCAGCACCCCAAACACCACCCTCCTGGACCTAGGCTGCTGTTTCGCGCAAGACCTGCGCCAGCTCGTCCTCGACGGCGTGGCCTCCGACCGCCTCTACGGCATCGACGTCGACCGCAAGTTCATCGACCTCGGCTACGACCTCTTCCTCGACCGCAGCACCCTGGACAGCCACTTCCTCACCGTCGATGCGCTCGGCCCGTCCGCGGCCCAAGACCTCGCCGACGTGAATGCCAAAATAGACATCGTCTGGGCCGCCTCCTTCTTCCACCTCTTCCCACGGCCGCGACAGCTCGCGGTCGCCAAGACGGTCGTCGCACTGCTGAAGCCGGTGCCCGGGTCCATGCTGCTGGGCCGGCAGCTGGGCAGCGTCAAGCCGGGGGAGTATGATGTGATGAAAGACGGGCGATGGCAGTTCCGACATGATGTGCAGAGCTGGACGGAATTTTGGGAGGAGGTGGGCCGCGAGACTGACACGAGGTGGAGGGTTGAGGCCAGTCTTGACGAGGTAGATTTTGGCTACGCGCAGAACAGGGAGTGGGGCGATCCCGATATGAGGCGATTGTTGTTTCAGGTTGTAAGGGAGTGAAGGGGATGAAACGATGACGATAACGATGACGATGAGGAGGAGGAGGCAGGTTCGATGGGACAGGCGAACTGTGCTGTGGTGGAGGCAGATATATATTCCTTTGCCTTTGTATAACTATTTTGTCAAAAAGCAGGTTGATTGATGTGTGTGATGTGTACAGAGGTAGGCACTAAGAGTCTTGGATAGCGTTAGTAGCAGCCCTAATCCTACCTTCGGATGGCGACCCTGTAGCAGGGTATCCTGAAAATTTCTCCTGGGAGCGCATAAACTGAACTTAGAGACCTCTTTGGGGCCTGATAGCTCCAGGCAACCCTCCAGGAGGGGCGTTATCCGAGATCTGTCTTGGCGTATAGGACTTTGCATGCTGATTTCCTTAAGTCTTTTAACCAACCCCTGATCTTCAACATGCCAGATAAGTTCAGTAGCATCTCTCCCAAATACTCACATTCACGTCTTTGTATACCTGTTTCACCAATCGACAGTTCCTTGTTTCCGAATCATAGTCCCAAGATTGGGGCTTGCGATTGGTATTGGCGATGGCGAGATATATGCGCACCGTATACTGTTCTATCTTATCTGGTGCACCCTTACGCAATATGAGTGCTCTGCCCGTATCGAACCTCCTTCGTACAACAATAATCCGCCCAGCCGCGCTCCCACTTACACACGTGCATTCCAAACCCAACAGCTAACCGAAGATGCACATCCTCCCTCTCCTGACATTTTTCGCACTCACCAGATTATCCACTGCTCTTCCCCCTCTACTCCTTCCTTCAAACCCCTCATCGGCGAACCCTCTTCCACTCAACGCGACGACCCTATCTCGGGAACCATGGCCCGACGTGCCCTGGACCTATGTCATTGACGAATCCGTCTCCATATCCATCGAGCACTACGGCCGCCACGTCTGCGCCGGAGACATATACTGCGAAGAGCGCGTCCGGGTCGCCATGAATGAGATCGTGCGGATCGTGAATGAAGAATACATCACCGGACGCGAGAAGGTCAACTCTTTCACGAGCGACGGGGTAAACTTTTGGATCAGACAGGAGACCGTGGTGCCGAAGATGCTGGTCGAGGAGCTGGTCGCTACTCTGCGTTGGGTGACGCTGCGTCATGGGACGACGGAGGTGTCCCACGCGGGGCTTTTGGACCGTGGGAAGTTGGCGGCAACGTTTGAGTTGACGTTTCCGGGAATTGAAGATTGAGGGAGAGTCGCCACAGTGGGACTGGGGGTTAGTGGGTCACATGACATGTCCCTGTTTCATGGCCCTGTCGGGACCCCTGCAAGGGTAGGAGACAGGTGTCCAGTACGAGCTATATAGCCACCTGTTTTGCACCTGTCAATGGCTCTTCATTCGATTTCGTCTCTTTCAGAGCCATTGCATACTTTTTGTCCCACCCACCCACACCTGTACATAGCTAGCTATCATTCCACTCCAGGTCTATGCCATAGGCATGGGAGTTTTCTTGCGCTGGGGTACGAGAAATATGCCTGTTCAGGCCTCTATTTAGTCCCATTCAGGCTTGCTATCCCCGGCGTGAGACGGCCCAACCACTATCTACACTCTATGTGGGCCCCTATGCGTGCATTGATGCGTGTTTTTCATGAATGGGACAACTAATGGTTTGCGTTCTCGGACACGCTGCTCGACTGGTACGGCATTCACAGGCTAGGAAAGTGCATAAGAGTCTAGCCGAGAATGTGGATCGGGATCAGAGATATATATGAATATATGTAGTCTTAATTATAAGCACAGAGGCTGATACTTCTGCAGTCAGGATAAGGTAGAGGTGTTCGTGGAGACTGTGGTATAAGTAAGAAGAGGAAATCGCCGCCGATTGGGGAGCCGCCAGAACTCGGCCTGGAGAGAGAACTTGCATCGTTCGTCACGTTGCAGTAGTCACACTTGATAGACGTTATCAAGTGTAGCTACAATTTGTGAGCAGAGCGATAAGTACCTCAAAAGATACATAGCTATGTCAGTCTTACGAGTATGAACCTGGGTAGGTGCATCCTGGATCATAGCCTGCACGATGAGTGAATGAGTACCCGTATGCTGTTGGACGATGCTGTAACTGAGCGAGCAGCAGATTCGATTAAGGAGGACTGGCGCTGATTCAATTTCGGTAGTCTATGAGAATGACATTGAAGGATTGCCATGTATCATCCAAGCTCTCGGAAAGTATCTTGAGGCTCAGTAACTATGATCAGCATTCCTGAATGAGCTGTGAGCCGTTCTACTAGAAAGTACGCTGTCAAATAGTGGAAAGATGTAAACGATTTGCGCCCAATCTACCCTCTTTTATCCGGACATTCGATCACTTGCGTGCTGAAAATTGACCAAGAATCGCCTTATGCCGGCCTCCCCTCCCCTCCCGCCAATCACTGCCTTGCACCTAACAACCTTTGGCTTCTGTTCAGTAGTATGCCAAACGTCGACATTCTCAGAAATCTCGCTTTTGGTTTCAGTCTCACAACCAGAATCGCTGCCGTGTCGGCTCCCAGTGTGCTTGCCCTCCCCCGTCAAAGAACAGCAAAGCAACACTTGTAAATCGACACAGCTTTCTATACTAGGTTCTAGTCGAGAACCTGGGTCCTGGGAATTGTGGAATAAGGGCTGGGATGCTCCATGATGGCGAGCTGGACTCCCCATCCGTCGGAGCTGTGCGCCCTGTTGGGGCCAGGCGCGGACCTGCGACTCACACGCCGCTTTCTCACTTCCTAAACACGTAAGTTGTTGAAGCAGGCGTCACACAGTCGCCTCTCTACCACCTCGTCTTCCGGCCTGTTATACGTCCTTGCTACTTCGCCGAGCCTGAGCAAGAATTTGGGTTCTGATCTTCTCTAGCATTGCGGTCCCTTTCGTCGACCATGGACGAATAGTCTTGATGGCACTGGCGTGTTGCAGGATTATTGGGGCCCAACGTCTTTGCAAACCCTGCTAAAGCTTTCAGATAGAGAGTTGATGCTTCATCGTACAGTTGTTGAAGGTGATATAAGTAGGCAAGGCTATACATGGTCATCAACGTAGAGGGGTGTTCGTTTCCCAGCACCTTCTCCTTTCCTTCCAGCGCTCGTCGACTCATCTCCTCGGCCGCCTTATAATCTTTCTTCCAAAAAAGCACGGATGCCAAATCGTGGACACTGCTTAATGTGTAGGGATGGTCGACTCCCAGCACCTTCTCAAATCCTTCCAGCGCTCGTCGACTCATCTGCTCGGCCGCCTTATAATCTTTCTTTGCAAAAAGTATAAATGACAAATCGTGGACACTGCTTAATGTGTAGGGATGCTCGACTCCCAGCACCTTCTCTCTTCCTTCCAACGCTCGTCGACTCATCTGCTCGGCCGCCTTATAATCTTTCTTGCTAAAAAGCATCGTTGCCAATTTATTAGCACTGAACAATGTGTCGGGATGCTCCAGTCCCAGCACCTTCTCAAATCCTTCCAGCACTCGTCGGCTCATATCCTCGGCTTTTTTATATTCTCCTTGACCCTGAAGGGTTAGTGCAAGTAAAGACAGACTATGCAGAGTCTCAGGCGCATCTTCCCCCAGTTGTTTTTGACAAATGTTGTGTGCTTCGGAGACTTCTTGATACGCAAAGCCATGACTACCCTGCGCACTATGAAAGGACGCAACATTGTATAGAAGAGCGGCGCGGTATCTCTGATCATCATCCTTTGATACGTAGTCCCAATTCAACACCGCCTGAGCATGCGCCAACAATGATTCACACGTCTCTTTGTTTTCATGTTTACCCTGCGGAAACTCCTTTGCTAACAGCTCTAACGCTTGACTTACGTAGTTCGCTTTCTCGTTCCTCTGCTCGAGCCAGTAGTGCACCGATGCTTGCACAAGTGGGTGTATGGCGTATATCTCTCCCCCAATCTCTGCAGTAATCAAAGCGAATCCGTTCAGCGTACCAATGGCAGTCCTGAAGTCCAACTCTCTCCCAATTGACCGTCGTACTAGCTTTTCCGGGATCCGTCGTGGATCAAGCATCGCTAAGAGGGACAGCAACTTCGCCGTCTGAGGCTCCTGTGTCAGGATCTGATCGAAAGAAAACTTCCATGTTCGAAAGACGGAATTGGGAAAACCATGCTGCCTCCGATGATCTTGAAGCTCATGACTCAGAAACTCCGTTAGGTCCTGCTTATCTGTTTCAAGGGCTGTTAGATAGCCTTCGACAGTCATCCCATTGTGATTGATGAAAGCTGCAGCTTGCGTGATGGCTAGTGGAATATGTCCCAAAACTTCCAGCAGCCTTTCTGTACTGGACACGTCGAAAAAGTTCGCTGCTCCTTTCACTTTCGACCGCAACAGGGCTCTCGCCTCTTGACATGAAAATGGCGGCACTTCCACACACAGTTCTCCATGGGCAAGGTCCTGACCAACACGTTTGTTTCTTGTCGTAACAAGCAATGACTTCTGAGGATTCAAAATGCTTGGAAGATAGTCGATCAAGGGTCGATGAGTTTGCGTAACAGTAGCAGGTGATGCATGAAATTCAGTCGAAGCGAAAATGACATCTGCATCGTCCGCATTATCCAATATCAGGAGCCACGTACGGTCGTCCTCCTTGAGCCATCTGGAGACCAGCTCACATGGATCGGACTTCGGATCTTCGTATGTAGGAAGTTTCAGGCTACGTGCAATCTCATGACAGGCCTGCAAAACTGTACCAGAGCTGGCGGCGTACACCCAGAAGACATGACTCTGCGGTCGAGACTGCCGAAACCGGTAAGCGTACTCGATGGCGATCTGAGATTTCCTGAAACTTTTGTCAGTATCTATGAGAGCTCGTGTGAGAGAACAAAATACCCAACACCTCCAATTCCACATATTGAAGCACGGTGATGCATGTGAAGTTGCTTCTCAATCTGAACGAAGATGTTTTTTCGCTCAATGAAGTTGGCATCTCTTTCATATGGCACGGAGAAGAGAGGTTTGACTAAAGTCGACATGGGAAAGATCAGCGCTATACACAATTTATCTGG